ACCTTTTTCCCCGGTGTTTAAAAACCAGGGTTGTATAACTCCAGTGTAAAACCGAGGGTTGTATAACTCTCAGTGTATATATACCGAGGGTTGTATAACTCTCGGTGTATATACACCAAGGGTTGTATAACTCTCAATGTATATACACCGAGGGTTGTATAACTCTCAGTGTATATATACCGAGGGTTGTATAACTCTCAGTGTATATACACCGAGGGTTGTATAACTCTCGGTGTATATACAATAAAAGGAATCCCTCATTGTTAACACATTGATGTGTTTCAGCGTATATACGCAGAGAAGTGTGCACCTCAGCGTATGTACGCCGAGAAGTGTGCACCTCAGCGTATGTACGCCGAGAAGTGTGCACCTCAGCGTATGTACGCCGAGAAGTGTGCACCTCAGCGTATGTACGCCGAGAAGTGTGCACCTCAGCGTATGTACGCCGAGAAGTGTGCACCCTCAGCGTATGTACGCCGAGAAGTGTGCACCTCAGCGTATGTACGCCGAGAAGTGTGCACCTCAGCGTATGTACGCCGAGAAGTGTGCACCTCAGCGTATGTACGCCGAGAAGTGTGCACCTCAGCGTATGTACGCCGAGAAGTGTGCACCTCAGCGTATGTACGCCGAGAAGTGTGCACCTCAGCGTATGTACGCAGAGAAGTGTGCACCTCAGCGTATGTACGCAGAGAAGTGTGCACCTCAGCGTATGTACGCCGAGAAGTGTGCACCTCAGCGTATGTACGCCGAGAAGTGTGCACCTCAGCGTATGTACGCCGAGAAGTGAGCACCTCAGCGTATGTACGCCGAGAAGTGTGCACCTCAGCGTATGTACGCCGAGAAGTGAGCACCTCTGCGTATGTACGCCGAGAAGTGTGCACCTCAGCGTATATACGCCGAGAAGTGAGCACCTCAGCGTATATACGCCGAGAAGTGTGCACCTCAGCGTATATACGCCGAGAAGTGTGCACCTCAGCGTATATACGCCGAGAAGTGAGCACCTCAGCGTATATACGCCGAGAAGTGAGCACCTCAGCGTATATACGCCGAGAAGTGAGCACCTCAGCGTATATACGCCGAGAAGTGAGCACCTCAGCGTATATACGCCGAGAAGTGAGCACCTCAGCGTATATACATCAAATTTACTCTAAATTAATTTTACTCTAAATTAATGTTTTTTATATAAACTTTGAAATTTTCCAAAACAAATCTTGAATTTTTTTCCCAAAACGTGAAAATACTGCGAAATATTAAAGTTTTTTCCCTTTTCGTATAAATGTTAGAATTTTGATCATTTTTTCCCTTAAAATGCCATGTTAATATTCTCCTTTTTTCTCCCCCCCCCAGGGTTCATGATCCCACAGGGTACGTTGCGACGGGGGTCACGATGTTCCACCAGCAAGGCTTTCATCCGTCCCGTCAGGCTGAGACCTAACCTACACGTCGCTATGCACTCCTTCGTCACTAAGGTACTCTCTCTCTCTCTCTCTCTCTCTCTCTCTCTCTCTCTCTCTCTCTCTCTCTCTCTCTCTCTCTCTCTCTCTCTCTCTCTCTCTCTCTCTCTCTCTCTCTCTCTCTCTTCTGCATTCTCTATCAATCCCAGTAGGGTGGGATACTCGTTTCTGAGATATGAGACACATGTGTGTGACACCTGTGTATCTTTGGAGATGTTGACACGGCTCTTACAGTTTAATGAGATGATATACGAGGACAGTGTAAGATGAGGCGATCAGTCCCTCAACCTAGAGAATGATACACAGATAACCTCCTATCAGGATTGAGGGACTGACACTCTACTGTTAAGGTTGAGGGATTGACATTCTACTATTAAGGCTGAGGGGCTGACACTCTACTGTTAAGGCTGAGGGATCGACACTCTACTATTAAGGCTGAGGGGCTGACACTCTACTACTAAGGCTGAGGGGCTGACACTCTACTATTAAGGCTAAGGGGCTGACAGTCTACTATTAAGGCTGAGGGACTGACAATCTACTATTAAGGCTGAGGGACTGATAATCTACTATTAAGGCTGAGGGACTGACACTCTACTATTAAGGCTGAGGGACTGACACTCTACTATTAAGGCTGAGAGACTGACACTCTACTATTAAGGCTGAGGGACTGACACTCTACTATTAAGGCTGAGGGGCTGACACTCTACTATTAAGGCTGAGGGGCTGACACTCTACTATTAAGGCTGAAGGACTGACACTATATTATTAAGGCTGAGGGGCTGACACTATTATTAAGGCTGAGGACTGACACTCTATTATTAAGGCTGAGGGACTGACACTCTATTATTAAGGCTGAGGACTGACACTCTATTATTAAGGCTGAGGGACTGACAATCTATTATTACGGCTGAGGGACTGATACTCTACTATTAAGGCTGAAGGACTGACACTCTATTATTAAGGCTGAGGGACTGACATTCTATTATTAAGGCTGAGGGACTGACATTCTACTATTAAGGCTGAGGACTGACACTCTACTATTAAGGCTGAGGGAGTGATACTCTCCTATCAAGACTGACAACCTCCTATCAAGGCTAAGGGACTGATCCCTTAAAATTACTTCTGTTGCCTCCAGTGTTATTTTCTCTCGTGTAGCATTTGTTCTATTAGTGGATTTGATTTGTGAAGGACCTGCCTAGTATGGGCCAGCAGGCTTGTTGCAGTGTTCCTCCTTTCTTATGTTCTTATGTATTCAACTGAAGAAGCCTGCTGCAGAGGCGAGATATTTCACCAGTAAAGATACGCAAGTGTTCCACACTCGTCTTATTCTTCAGTGACTAATTTCTTTCCTAATGACTCCCCAGTGGCCGACAACTATCTCACTTGCTCTGTCTCCTTATCTTTCAGATTCTTATAGACCCGCATACCAAGCGAGCCTACGGTGTGGAGTTCCTTCGCCATGGGCACACGCAGGTGGTACTGGCGAAGAAGGAGATCATCTTGTCAGCTGGCTCCATCAACTCGCCCCAGCTGCTCATGTTGTCTGGGATAGGTCCAGCCAAGCAACTCCAGTCACACGGGGTAGGTACCGAGCTCTCTGTCTGCCTGTCTGTCTGTCTGTCTGTCTGTCTGTCTGTCTCTCTCTCTCTCTCTCTCTCTCTCTCTCTCTCTCTCTCTCTCTCTCTCTCTCTCTCTCTGTCTCTCTCTCTCTCTCTCTCTCTCTCTCTCTCTCAAAAGGATATGTATTTTGTTAGGAGAAATAGGACTCTTTCTCCCACTGAGAGGGTTGACCCGCTCAGTTGAATGGGCATCCCTCTCTGTCTAAGCAATCAAGGTCCCAGAACCGAAACGTTTTCTAATAAATACTTCTCTGTACAACTTAAAATATAACACAGAAATCATTTTTCGTGTCCCAAGATTCTTTTTTTCAATTATTTCTTTACAGTACGACGTTCCGATAAAACCATTCTTGGTTCTTAATTTTATGGTAGGTCCTTAAAAGCTGACGTTTAGTCATGCACCACAGGCGGAACCAGGAGCTAAGTCTTGACTCCCGGCAACTACAATTGGATGACCACAATTCGAGTTCTGGAGTTAATGAGCATGATCTGGTAGAGAAGACTGAGGGAGCTGAAGCTTACGCCACTAGACGAACGATGGATTAGAGGAGACATGATCGCGACGTGCATGATACATATGGGTATTAACATGTTCTGACACATGTACAGTTCCAGAACATGTGGACGAAGATGGAAGACGATCACTTAGAAGAGTCCAAGGAATAAGACACATAATGCACTTCACGGAACTTTACTGTGAAGAGTTGATACTGTCAACCAAGTTATTTAATTCCCCTCTGGAGTGAATTTCCTGGCCTTATTTTATACCTTTCTTCCCTCCATCCCTTCCCCCCCCTACTCTCCTTCCCTTCATCCTTTCCTTTTACCCTACTCTCCTTCCCTTCATCCTTTCCTTCTACCCTACTCTCCTTCCCTTCATCCTTTCCTTCTACCCTACTCTCCTTCCCTTCATCCCTTCCTTCTACCCTACTCTCCTTCCCTTCATCCCTTCCTTCTACACTACCTCCTTCCCTTCATCCTTTCCTTCTACCCTACTCTCCATCCCTTCATCCCTTCCTTCTACCCTACTCTCCTTCCCTTCATTCCCTTCCTTTCTACCCTACTCTCCTTCCCTTCATCCCTTCCTTCTACACTACTCTCCTTCCCTTCATCCTTTCCTTCTACCCTACTCTCCTTCTCTTCATCCTTTCCTTCTACCCTACTCTCCTTCCCTTCATCGTTTCCTTCTACCCTACTCTCCTTCCCTTCATCCCTTCCTTCTACCCTACTCTCCTTCCCTTCATCCCTTCCTTCTACACTACTCTTCCCTTCATCCTTTCCTTCTACCCTACTCTCCATCCCTTCATCCCTTCCTTCTACCCTACTCTCCTTCCCTTCATCCCTTCCTTCTACCCTACTCTCCTTCCCTTCATCCCTTCCTTCTACCCTACTCTCCTTCCCTTCATCCCTTCCTTCTACCCTACTCTCCTTCCCTTCATCCTTTCCTTCTACCCTACTCTCCTTCCCTTCATCCATTCCTTCTACCCTACTCTCCTTCCCTTCATCCCTTCCTTCTACCCTACTCTTCTTCCCTTCATCCCTTCCTTCTACCCTACTCTCCTTCCCTTCATCCCTTCCTTCTACCCTACTCTCCTTCCATTCATCCCTTCCTTCTACCCTACTCTCCTTCCCTCCATCCCTTCCCTCCTTCCCCGCGGGGTTCACTGGGCCTCTTTATGACTATCAGACTACGATTTCAGGGGCTATTATGCGTCTGGTGGCTGGCTACTCGCAGTTACAACACCATAAATACCAATGTCGAGGGACTCAAGAGTTTACTGACACACCTGCAGAGGGGTTCCTCGAGAGTAATTTGTAACTTAGGGATAGAGCATTAGGCTCACAAACGAAAGAACACGAGTTTGATATCTAATCAGTGACGTATGAACAAGTCTATGTACATTTTCTGCCCTAAATGATAGCAACTCCAGCTATGCTACGACGATATCTTTGACGCTGAGGCAGCTGAGATTACTTGAGGATATCCTCATTGCCCTACTGAAGTCTCCCAGTTCAGGCTGACACATTTCAACACCTTGTACGAGCCCCATCCTGCGTTATGGACTATGACAAGGAAACAGTTCCTGCTGACACATGCTTATCCCTCCTGCAGATCCCTGTGCTGGAGGACCTGCCTGTGGGGCACAACCTTCAGGATCACATCGGCGTAGGCGGATTGGTCTTCCTCATAGACAAGAAGGTGTCACTGGTTCAGACCCGTTACGAGAACCTACCCAGTGTCCTCAAGTATGCTATGTTTGGCTCTGGTGAGTGTACACACACACACACAAACACTTATATATATATATATATATATATATATATAATATATATATATATATATATATATATTATATATATATATATATATATATATATATATATATATATATTATGATAAAGTTCCGAAAACCTAACACATGTAATACTGGTTAATGAAGTTTAAAAGACTGTGCCAAGAGCTATGTTTCAACCCTTGCAGATGCATCTGGGTAAGTACACATCATGGTCTAAAACATTTCTCATCTTCAGCTTAAGCTTTCTTATTTAAGCTCACTTCTCTTGATTTATGGGATAAATTAAGCTCATTGTTATATTTTATGTTAGTTTAACATTAATACTTTATGTTACAAGAGTCGCTGATTTTTTTTCGGCGTTACAACTGTAATTGTCAACTGCGATTTTGTCGACGCTCTTACTAATGTATTGAAGCAGTACAGTGAAAGTTAGTGCGTGAGTCACTGTAGCTGGGCGAAGACACCTCTGAGTCCAGACCAGAAGTTAAATACAAAATTCAACAAATTCTCTTCTTTTGTGATATTCCACAGACGATGATCAGATGAAATGCAAAGTACCGGGTCAGCCTCATGGCCGCCTTCTTGAACACTATGCTTCATTGTCCAGTTATTGAAGAATGTAGAGATAGAGAGTATAAGAACTTATGTGATATGTCAAGGTATTTTATTAATGAAAATAGTATATCGGATATATTTAGAAAATATCCTAAATTTACTTGCAGCAGATAAGATAGTGCGGATATAAATCCAGATGTACTTGTTTTAACACTTTTCATGGAGCCTAGATCCTAGGCCTTTTGTGTATCCATTTTCTCTTGCACTTCCCTCCATAGGATGGATATAGGAAGGGCAATAATCTAGCCACTTCGGAGGCAAAATCTAAGCTAATCTTTGTCAGTCCACCTTAACCACACTAAAGTCCTTCAGTCCCTATCCTACACACCCTTCATTAGCAGTGCTGGTTCCTTCCTGCAGGTCCGCTGACGGTGCTGGGAGGCGTGGAAGGTCTCGGCTTTGTTAAGACCAAGTATGCTAATCACTCTGACGACTGGCCAGACATCGAGTTCCACTTCATCTCAGGTTCCCCGGCCTCTGACGGAGGCAGACAGATCCGTAAAGTTCACGGCCTCTCCGAACGTGTAAGGGATGCTGGGTGCTAAGGGATACTGAGTGCTAGAGAGGGCTGAATGTTAAAGAGTATAGGGTGCTAAGGACACTCGGTGTCTGCAGTAAAAGTTCCCAAGGGTGTAAGGCAGCAAAGGTTTACGGTGTCATTATCACAGGGTGTCAGACACAAAGTGTAGCACAAGGTGAAAGACACAGTGTTGAGCAGTGTTAGATACACAGTGTGGAAGAGGGTGTCCAAGTCACAGTGAAACACAGAGTGTTAAACAGTGTAGAGCAGGTTGTCAAATACAGTGTAGAACAGGGTGTCAGACACACAGTGTAGCACAGGGTGTCAGGCACAGTGTAGCACAGGGTGTCAGGCACAGTGTAGAACAGGGTGTCAGACACACAGTGTAGCACAGGGTGTCAGACACGCAGTGTAGAACAGGGTGTCAGACACACAGTGTAGCACAGGGTGTCATACACAGTATAGAACAGGATGCCAGACACAGTGTAGCACAGGGTGTCAGACACACAGTGTAGAACAGGGTGTCAGACACAATGAAGAACAGGGTGTCAGACACACAGTGTAGCACAGGGTGTCAGACACACAGTATAGCACAGGGTGTCAGACACACACAGTAGCACAGGGTGTCAGACAGTATAGAACAGGGTGGCAGTTATTCTGATGACCCTCGTGCAGTAGATAGGATTTCAACCCATTAATCAATCAATAGGCCATTGAAGATACCTGTCCACGACAGGTATATATAGGTATTTCTGGAAAATTTCTGAGAAATAGTGAATATTTATTTTAGATAAGAATTTTCTGGGGAATAAAGAAGTAATTTCATATCCGAAGAGATATTTCTCGGCGATTATAAGGGAATCTTAATTGTCTGTCAGAGACAATTATTTCACGGTGATTTCAGTGGTACCGTAAAAATAATTAAAAGTATTTTCCGGAAATTTCAGAGCAATTTAATTGCGGTTAACTACTTACGAGTTCATTGAAATCTCCAGGAAATTTGCCGAATGTGACATCGAGAATATTTTAAGGAGCAGAGCATTGCGACGCTCCCAACTTGTCAAGGTACTATAGTTTCGGACTAATTCTTTGAATCAAGAGAACTTCACCGCTTTCAAGGCGCCTCCTTCATAGAACCTAGTGTTCTAGAATCTAGGTTAGTTATCTACATCTTAGGTTAGTTATTCATAGTCTTGTAGGACTGTAGTTTACTGTAGTATTACATTTATTCAATACTTATTTTAGAATTGCATTTTTGTGTGTCCATTTATATATTCTTTGTCTTAACAATATATATATAATATATATATATATATATATATATATATATATATATATATATATATATATATATATATATGTGTGTGTTGTGTATATATATATATATATATATATATATATATATATAATATATATATATATATATATATATATATAATATATATATATATTATTGTAACCACGAACGAGTGGTATTGATCAATAACAACACTGCGGCAGGCCAGTACAACATGGGTTCGAATCCTTGGCTAGTGCAGTGTTGTTATTGATCAATACCACTCGTTCGTGGTTACAATAATATATAAATACTGCTCGTGAGGCTAGTTCACCAAACAAGGATGAGAATGAAATTAGCTTAGAAGCTCCCACACCTCCGTATGCCCTCGGATGGCCGCCCAACAGCTAGCTCTGTGCTGGCTGCGCCATTCTTGTAGGGCTGGGTGGTCCTGTGGTTTAAAGCGTCATGTGGTTCTCGCTTACCATGAGGCAGGCCAGTACAACATGGGTTCGAATCCTTGGCTAGCGCAGTGTTGTTATATATTATATATATATATATATATATATATATATATATAATATATATATGTGTGTGTGTGTGTGTGTGTGTGTGTCGTGCCGAATAGGTCATTTAGCAAAAACTCATTCAAATTAAGTCCTTTCTAAAATTTTCTCTTATACGTTTAAAGATATATTTTTTCATTTATATATTAGTGCAAAAATTTACAATTTTGTACCCAAAGAACCTTACAAAACTTACCTAACCTTATTATAACAAGCGCAACTTAATTTAGCCTAATCCAACTAATTATATTTTAGATAAGTTTACAGTAATTTAATAATAAACAAACACAATGAAATACATTATTTTCGTCAGGTTCAGAAGGATTTTTGCGAAATTATTGTGTACACAAATTTTCGCTTGCCTTATTCGGCAAGAAGAACGTTATTATTTATGCCAAAATCGCAAGTTTTACCTATTCGGCATATATATATATATATATATAATATATATATATATATATATATATATATATATATATATATATATATATATATAATATATTATTTTCTTCAGATATAGCTCTTACTTTATGCTTTTTCTGAAATAACTAATATTTTGTGCGGGAATTAATATAATCCATCTCAACAGTAAGCAGTCAATATATTTTTTTTCCATTTCTGTTATAGAGTAAATGAGTTTTATTGTCAGCTATGAATTATCTCTGATTTTGTGGTATAAAAGCTAACTTACTCCCTCACAAAGTGATGTACTACCTTATTCCTAGAGACGTAGAAATCACGACCTACTGACTGACCCCCAGACAGACCTGGAGGTTGATGCTACAGCCCGTGTCCTTCCGAGACAACTGGAGTGTCCTTCCTACCCTCCTGCGGCCACGAAGTCGCGGCTACGTGGCTCTCAGGAGTGCCAGCCCTTTCCACAAACCTCTGATCTTTCCCAACTACCTTACTGACGAGCACGACGTCAGGGTGCTAGTGGAAGGTAGGACTCCCCGAGCCAACTAGCAGTTGACGTCGAAGTGGACACGAGCTGACGAACTGGTGGTTGCAGTATTATTAGGATCTTCAAGATTATTTTTTTATGTAAAACGCTAAACTCGCGTGGGTTATTCATTGCACGGTTTGATCCTGCTGTGAAGGTTCGATGCTCCGTCCGCTAAGAGCTTTATTTCTAACACTTGACAGCCACCTCTTCGTCCTGCTCCTGAGTGGAGGTCAAGAAGAGTTTAGGTAGAGGACGCCCTGGACGCTTTAGACTAACATTAGACTGTGAGCTAGATTTAGACTGGGAGCTAGCTTATAGACTATGAGAGGCACCACACTTCTAGAGTAAGAGCTAGCTTATAGACTGAGAACTAGTATGTAGAGACGCCAAACTTTATTGACTTCCAAACTCATGTCCCTCGACGATCGACTTTATATCTTTGTTTAGAAAGCCTTTGGCACTGATTCTTGATTTTCAGACGTGGCAGCAAATGTTTAAGCCCATATCGTTCCGGGACAGCTGGTCCATATACCCCATGTTGCTACGGCCCAACTCCCGCGGGTACATAACCCTTCGTTCAGCCAGTCCCTTCGACAAACCCTACATCATCCACAACTACCTAACCGACCCAAGAGATATCAAGATTATAGTTGAAGGTAACGGCCAGCTCTTACACACCTGCCCCTCCCTAATCTCTCCAACACCTGCACTCACTGCTTGCGTATGCTACAGCTGTGTTAGCATTAATACCGCACTCACTATAGCGTAACAACCAACGCTATGCAGCTGGGTCTAGCCCAGGCTCTTTCCCTCACTCTCCCTTTCACCCACATGGGTCTTACCTGGGAGTACCCTATCCTATCCTGGCATAACACATCTGCAGGAGCACATTCCCCGACACCTGCTAATTCGGTCCTCGCTGCACTTAAACCTACACGACTGCTTGTATTTCTTCCACTCCCCGGTACAGTAATCCGGTACTTGTTGTAACCTAGTACTGTAACTCCGCGCACCTTCAGCGTCTGCCACCACCCGGTACACTAACCAAGCACCTAACACAATAATATTCCCTCAGCACTGTAATATCTGCTGAAGATTATGCCTGAAAGTTAAGACACATGTGCAACATCTGGATATCTTTATTGTTTTAGTATCTGACACTGCAACATCATGGAATCTTGGTTCAGAGGACATCTACAAGACCTTCTTCACGGCTGCTACAACTAACCCATCCCTTTGGGTAGGACCTACTTCCGCTGGGGAATCCCGCCTACCAGTGACTATGCCCTCGTCTGCTACACGTCCCTTTCACTGACGCCTATATAAGCGCCAGTCTCCTTGCCTCTGCTTCAGAATCTCTACCAACCACGGTGCTCTAAACACCACCTCCAAGGCTGAGGGACTGATTACCTCATCTTTTGTATATAGTTCTTCCGTTTTCTTATTATGTCCAAGAATCTGCATTGATAAAGCCACTGGATGGCGAAACGTCTACAATAAAGATAACCAGATGTTGCACAAGTGTCTTAACTTTCAAGATTATGCCTGTAATATTTTCTCTTTATTGCACGTCTCTATTGCACGTCTTTACTGTACGACTTTACGTCTTCACTTTACGTGTTTAATCTACGTCTTTACATTGCTGTTTATCACCACTTGCAGCCTCACACTTTCCCTTCACCCTTCTCCCCTTTTCTATACTTCTACAATGAGAGGACGTATGTTGCACCACGAACTATAATCGGGACGAACGTTTCGCTCTATATGTATGCTAACACAAGAACATAAGAAAGGAGGAACACTGCAATAGACCTCTTGGCAGACTAGGCAGGTCCTTCACAAATCCAACAAATAAGGCTCCATCAAGAGCGAAACGTTGTCCCAGTCACAAAAACTCATTCTGCAGCTTCTGTCTTCACGGTTAAACATTCCATCCAGACTATCCAACACTATTCCAGCCCACTAGTTTGGTTCATTTAAAGGATTTAAATCCTACTGCATGTAACCTGTTCAAAACTATCTATCTATATATATATATATATATATATATATATATATATATATATATATATATATATATATAATATAATATATATATATATATATATATATATAAGTAAAAGGCACTTACAAAGTTATCATATTCATTTTCATGGTCATTCACAGTCATCATATTCACTTAACAAAATATTTTACATTTTTAAGTCATGTATTTACCTTTTCTACGACCCACTGGAATTACGTAATACAGTAACCAATATATTTTTTTAATCTATGCAACTAACTGCTTGCAACAAGGTTTCAATTGATTCCTGTGACGTAGATCTAGGAATTTTTTATTTCTGGGAAAGTCTCTCTTTCTTTTTACAGTTTTAATTCCTGCACGTTTCTGTTGTTTCGTTTCGAGCACCACTTCTTCTAGCATGTTTCAGAATATAGAAAATTAGTTTATAATTTGGGAATAGGTGGTTTTATAGGTTTTTATAAGTGTCATATAACCACTGGGAAATGGTACAGTGGCGGGATAAAACAGGTTTGATCCGAGGCGATCTTATTTAAAACAGAGGTATATTTGGGGAGGTATATTTCCGTGTGTGTACTCACCTAGTGTGTGTGTGTGGTGTGTGTGTGTGTGTGTGTGTGTGTGTGTGTGTGTGTGTGTGTGTGTGTGTGTGTGTGTGTGTATGTGTGTGTGTGTATGTGTGTGTGTGTGTGTGTGTGTGTGTGTGTATGTGTGTGTGTGTGTGTGTGTGTGTGTGTGTGTGTGTGTGTGTGTGTGTGTGTGAGCAATTCTTTACCCTTTAATAACATTTTTAATTATTAGGTCTAAATAAAAAATAAATGAGTCTCTAACGTTGATAAAAAAAACTCATTTTCGTTTTTCTCTGGCAGCCCAAAATGCGTGTGTCGAGTGACCCTTACTAGGCTCCTGAGTACGTCTGTGGGAGGTGACCCTTACTAGGCTCCTGAGTACGTCTGTGGGAGGTGACCCTTACTAGGCTCCTGAGTACGTCTGTGGGAGGTGACCCTTACTAGGCTCCTGAGTACGTCTGTGGGAGGTGACCCTTACTAGGCTCCTGAGTACGTCTGTGGGAGGAGGGGAAGAGCTTTTGTTCCTTTATTGATGAAGCTCTCTCTCCCTGGTTCCAAGAGCTCTATCTCTCTCTCTCTCTCTCTCTCTCTCTCTCTCTCTCTCTCCTCTCTCTC